CCCCCCGACCCAAACTGCACCCAGAAAGGTGGTCCAGGTCTTCCCACTGTCTGAAGTTTTACTTTAGACAGTGCCAGTGAAGAGTAACTTCACTTAAAAAAATGACAAACTTGGCTTTAATATATAGCTTTGGCTTACGTATCATAGAGAATACTGCTTGCTTGCTCTTGTGATGAACTGGGAAATTCTTTATGCATCAAAAATGTGTTTATCTTAGATAATTATCCAGTCACCTTCTGTGTCTGTTCTATATGGCTGCAGCTTTCCTATATCATGGGGTGAGACTTAGCTCAAATTCCTAGGATAGGATGCCACTGAGCTCAGTGGGATCGCAGCGAGACCAGATCTTGCCACATTCACCCTCATTCTCCTTTCATTCCTGTTTCCCCCCACCCCATCCTCTTCAGGGCAGTAAGTCCTGATTTTCACCTGTGTGAGAGGAGAATGAGATCCAGTGCTGTTACATCTTTCCAGGCAGGCTCATGAAAATTAGAGCTCGAGATTAAAAAAAATAATCATCTGTGACCTCAAATGCAGAAGTGTTTCATGCCCTGTAATTTGTTCAGCCATTTTTTTTTTAATGAAGCAAGCTATTAGGTACCAACTACTTCCTCAAAATAATTATTCCGTGTCTTAAATGTTTAATTCCATCAGCATTTGGCAAAGCGTTTAAGCACATGCTTAAAATTAAGCACTTGAATGGATAAAAAAAAGACTAGAGGCTGAAGGCAGGGCTTAAGCAGATTGAGGTGCCCAAATCCAAAAGCGGTTCATCACCCAGCTCTGATTAAACTGGCTTAAACTCACTAGGCATCTCCCAGTTTCTCCAGGCCCCTATAGATCTGCTTTTACTGTTCCAGACTGAGCAGCTCAGCACCGTCTCCTGCCTAAGCCCAATCAGGATTCAAAAACCAGAGGTTCCTCTGCTTAAACCCCCAAAGTGCCAGTTTAGTCTGCATCCTCAAAGCTCACCTAACCACACACCAACAGGCATAGGATCCTCAGAAAAGACAAGAGTAGGAGCTTTTTCTTCAAACACAGCTGAAGGAAGATGCCTGCTTTGTATGCAGGAACCTAGTGGTTAGTGGACTCACCTGGTCATTGGGACACGTGGATTAACCTACTTGCTCAGCGCAGGAGTCAGGGTCAAAGGCATGTCTTCCACATCCCAGGGAAGAGTCCTGACCACCAGGTGAGATACTATTCTGGGTAGGTACCTATGGACCCTGCTCCATGGCAAACAGTCGTTAGAAAATACACAGACACCGTCTGTTGGCTACAAAGCTCCTGGTCAGCAAGTGGAGCTTGGAGATCTGCATCCTGGGGTGTCTTAGCCCATATTTACCTGGTAAATTCAATGGCCTGGTAGGAACATCTTCAAGCATGCTATGCTGTTCCAGAAGCAAAGTATCTGCATCCACGTGTCTTGGGATTGACAAATTAGCATGAGCACATGAGCATGCTAATTAGCTGCCTCTTCCCCATCCACACCAGCCTGCCCATGCACTGCCCCACCAAGTGGCAGCACGTGCTTGAGGGTATTGGTGCCAGGCCTGGTACGTTTGCTGTGTAAACATGGCCTAACTCTTCCCGTGCGCTGGACTTGGTTCTGGATGCCACGCTTTGTGGCAGGCAGCTCAAAGTCAGATGCCACAGCATCTGCATTAAGTCCCCGTGGGATCTAGCTCCAAGTGTTTTGCTGAAGCAGGATGTGAATGATCTCATTGTCCAGCCACTACTTGTAACCAGATTCATGTTGTCTTGCTCACTTTGGGCTTCCCTGAAGTACCAGGAGCCAAATTCTCTCCTGATTATACTCCAGAGACTACCAACAGCCTAAGTCTCTACTGGTGCTACCGATGACTTTGGGGACTGGGCTGTATGTTCCATAGTGAGAGCACTAAACACTCCTAGCCATTAAAAAGGAGCAATCAATGGGGAAAAACCCCAAACAATAAGTGCATCTACTGGAAAAGAAAATTTATCTGAGAATATTGCTCTCGCTTTTTTAAAGTTTTTTCATTGTAATAAAAAGTTATAACAAAAAAGCGACCCAAGGATTTTTTTCTGAGTGTGTTTTGTTCTGATGATGATTGGCTTGAATCTGAAAAGCCCCAACTCATCCGATGGCCATGCTCTTGGGTAACTGCCGTGCAGAACTGGAAAGGCCGGTGTGCGACCTATACCACATTGTGCATGGACTACTGTTCTTTCCCAACTGTTTCAAGGGCAATGGATGGCATTTTCTCTTGTACCACCTTTTGCTTCTTCTCCCTTCGCTTTATGTGAGGGGTTCTAACATCGGCCATTTCAGACACAGGGGATGTCAGGAAGCATCCATTTTAAGGCAATCCAGCCAAAGGGCTTCGCAATCCCATGGACAGTGAATAGTGGCTTCCCCAGAGCCTTTCCACCTGCAGCATGGAGGAGGCCAGGTGCATCATGTGGTTTTCCAGTGGTTTATCCTCCCTTCCAGCCTTGCTGCCTGGCACATTATATGTGCATGAGGGGGAAGGAGGGCAAGATGTCAGAGCATTGGCTTCAAGGGCCACTTGGCAAGGTGCGCTGGCGGGACACCGCTAGTGCTGTCTGCTCTGCTCATTTGTAAGCCCTCAGCACTTTCACAACCAGGAAATGTGACCACACGTGCAAGCACAGTCACAGACTAATAAACCACCACACAGCAAAGACACAAGACTCACTGCTTTGATTTTCAAATTGTTTTTTCATTTAATGGAGTGATCTAATAAATAAATAGGGCAGGCCACTGGGATTGCCTTGGTCATTCACATGTGGCCCACAGGCCGTATGCTGTACACCCTGCTCTAGCCATACCCCATGCCTGCCCTAGTATTAATCATTTATTACGAAAAGAAGGCAGAGTGGAGTGGTGCTGGCTGCTCTTTCTCTGCACTGCTCCCCTCAATACAGAGATCCCATGAGGGGCAGTAAGCCGACTCTCTCGGTTGCAGGATTGTATCTAGCTTTGGCTCTATTACTCCCTAGCATTAAAATATAATCAGAGAGTCACTTCTGTGACTTCCCGTTTGTAAACCATTTCTGGAAAGATCACCCGTCACTTCCTATAATACGCAGGACGCTGATGCAGCCAAGGGGCAAACAGATGAAAGGCTGTAAATGTCAGCATGGGATTTGCATCTAGTTAACTGCAAGAATTCAAAGCATTTGTTCTCTGTTCAAACTACAGAGAGGGTCAAACCAAAACCCAAATGGGATGATGCACAAATGCTGGGACAAGTCAGAAACCAAACCTTATAGTGAGCCCACCCAAAGCCCCAAATCCCACCACATAGTGCTCCAAACTGGGCGGCTCAGACTGCATGTTGTGATTTGCAGCTACTCGCTACAAACTGTACATTCATCTCCTTTCTTATTTAGAAGGCAAGGGACTGAATGGGGATGTCTACATATCACAATGCAGTTCTGTATGGAGAGATGCAAGTACCAGAAACAGTTTGGCTGCACCAGCACTGCACTCTGCTGGAACTAACTTGTCCTGCTGAAACCCAATTTTCCACTGCCTTGTCCATTACATCAAAGGCGAGTGTCAAACATCCCCATCCTGCTGGGATCGATATGTTAGTACCACTGGGCATGGGAGTAAATGGCTCCACAATGAACAGAGCAGTGGAGAATCCAGGTCCACTGTGGGTTTTCTTCCACTGTTCCTTCCACCCATTCCATATTTTTACTGGGAGTCTTGCACTGGTTTATATTTCATGGTGTACTGGGAATGGAAAGCCAACATCTGACCTTCTCTCTGAGCTGTTACTCAGAGCAAACCTCCCGCTGGCATCAATGGACTTTAGTTGTGACTAAATAATGGCTTCAAAACGTTGTCTGTAATGCCTAATTATTAGGGCTGTGCAAAACGGCAATGTTTTGTTTCAGTTTCAGGTTTGCCATTTCGAAGGGACAGCATTTCATTTTGCTGTTTCGAAGCACTGTTCCATTTCGTTTCACCAAAACTGTTTCACTGTTTCGATGCGTTTTGGCATTTCACCCATAGGCTATAATGGGGAATCACAAAAATGCCTATAACTTTGTCATTTTTTGCCTGATTCAGATGAAAACAGTGGGGATGGTAGCCCCTGCTGAGGCCACAAAGCTTGCCAAGTTTCAAGGAGATCGGTACATGGGTTCCTGGGAAACTGCACCTCAAACAGTTCAGAGCAAAACTCGTGACATATGAGTGTAAAGGCACAGGGGAATGAAAACTGCAGGCATAGTAGCCCCTGGTGGGGCCATGAAACCTGCCAGCTTTCAGGGAAAACACAGATTTTTTTTTATGTGGAGAAAGAATTACAGAGAATAACAAAAACAAAAAGATTTTGGGGGAGGAATAAAATGAAAGGGATGGATTAAGAAGGGGTATTAGGGTATTCTGGAAAATATTGGATCCCACTTGCTAGGAACAGACTAGCAAGTAGGAAGCAAGAGCCTTCCTGATGCTCCTGGAGGACACAGCTCAGTAAGCTGACAAAGCTCATTTCAAACAGTGCTTTTACGCTGCTTCTCTGTCCCTCCCCCAGAGCACTGGGATTGGAAGGGACCTCCAGGAAGGATCACCATCACTGGCCAGCTACACAGTCAATATGAGAGCAGTCCTTCCCCCCTCCACTCCCTCCCTCTCCTTACTTTGTATTTCCCTGCAAGCTCAGCTTCAAAACTCTTCAAAATTTTCAAAATGTTTCCCGTGCCCTCGTTTCTTTTCAAAGCTGTTTCGAAGCCTTGCGTTTCATTTTGGTGTTTCGAGCTCAAAACACGTTGAAACACCTTCGAAACGAAACGTCCGTCAACATTTTTGCACAGCCCTACTAATTATTACTCCCTTTCCAATCTCACAAAATTGTTGTCCAAGGCTGATCTTTTCTCAGCCAAAATAACCTTTGAGTTTTGCCTGAAAAATGAATCTGAAGTTTGTCCTACGTCGATTTCAGGACTGGACTACAATGCAGAGACAGAACTGATTCACTGCGATATTAATCTGATCGCATCCTTGCACTGTTGTAAGCACATTGAAACAAATGGATTTAACCAGCTTAAAATGAGTAGTCAGTGGTGACAAATGAAGCCTTATATTTCTAGATGTATTAAAATAGAATTTAGTCAATGATTATGATAAAACCTTTAAAGTAAAATTACTTTCCTTTCCTTGGGCAGTGCAGATATGGGAAAAATCTAAACATTACCCAATTATACTCAAGGATTTTTTTTTAAAGTGCCTCACTCCAATACTTCACTACTTTGGTGTACAAGAAACATTAAACCAGAAAAGCAAACAAAGGAGGAATAAGTACTCCATATTTGATCAGTGTGTGGAATTGTGTTTAGGAGTTAGTGAAAACTAAATGAACACCACAGCCAAACCTATAAATCTGAAAGCTGAAAATGGATCTGTGAACAACAATGAACAAACAAAACCAGTACATTTCTAGATGAAGTATTTATATTCGTTCCAACAATACAGGTTCAAATCCCATAAACCTTTGCCCATGTGTAATCATTGCTTAGGCAAGCAGTCTCATTCATCTGGGAACTACTCACATAAGAAAGGACTGATCGCATGAGCAAAGGTTAGCAGGATCAATCTTCAGGTTGACTAATCCTGCAGCCATTGAATCCAAAAGGAAACTCACTGGGAGCAGGATCTTGCCATATGTATTTGCCGTTTCCAAAAATTGTGTCCATACTAAACTTATGCCCGTATAATAAAAGGCTGAATAGTTTATAAGTGTTGGTGCACTGGTCTAAACAAAAGCATTCAGTACAATGGATATATTACTATGACGCATTTTTTTCCACTAAGTTTCCTCCATTTTTTTTTTTTTTTTTTTTTACAGCGCTTGCGCTT